GTGTCAGGTGTGCAGCTTAAACACCTGTATTCATCTGTATGTCCATTTGCATAATATTTACAGGAGGCAAGATGACTGGTTCATGAACTCTTGCATGTATTACGAGTAACTTTTGACCTATGTTGGTAAAAACACAAATTTAAGGTCAGAGTGGCACAAGGCTCACCTTTAGCTTGGCTCTTTGCATTGCCAGGAGATATTTTTATCTAGTATGAACAATTCAGAAAGATGGGTTTGAGTTGTCCTCTGCGGCCTCGGGTTTGGCCTTCCTGTGGGTGCAGAGTCAACCTCAGTCTGATGCTCTGATTGGAGCCAGATCCTTTGTCCCAGATTCCGAATCCTCGCATCCTTGAACCTCACGAAACCTAAAAGTCCCACATTACACAAATCCAACTGAAATCTATTGTGAAATATCAGGAGGGCGATGCGGCGGGATAAAAAACACGCTGTTGGAAAAGAAAGTTGACATGCAGGTGAAATGAGGTCGAAGGTGAAGTCTCAAAGGGAGGCAAAGACAGCCTTTTAATAGTAATAGTTATTGTAGTTGTTGTGAAGTGGAATGCTGCTGTTAATTCCTCACTCTTCTGGACCCACTTTTGGTGTTTTTCATTTTTATGAGGCAGGGGAAGACATCTGCTTGCATAGTCAACCCTTACAGGAATTCTCTGGGGACCTTTTAATCATCCGTTCGAGATCTACAATGTGAAGATGCTGCGATATGCTATTTTTGTCTACTCTCTCACCAGATGCTTTCCTGAACTCTTAATACTCTCACATCACACCCCTGGGGTCCATGAAAAGTCACATGCGATACTGTGATAGAAAGTGAATGTTCTGCAGACATTTTATTTTACAGTCCCAACAGCACGCTTCTGCTCCGCAAACCTCCGCAGGCTCCAGGGGGTTTGCGAGAGCCCCATTTGCTGTAAATGCCCAGAATTCCTAAAACCTTCAAATGCTGTATATTTTGAATTCCTCAGACATTTCAGACACTCGGATATTCTCATACTCAAGAGGGCAATGAGACCTGTTAACCACTTTACCCTACACCCCTTCATACACAGACATATTTACACACACACACACGCTCATGTACACCCCCTGCGATGGATTCCAGATCTGGAATTTAATGCATTTCTGTTTCGCATCACCTCCCAGGAATGCGGCACACGTGCCACAAGCCTCATAACCCCAAGCTGATGAATGTGAGGATGTTTAAAAGGAAAGGATGATGATGGGATACAGACGTTTCTGGGGGTGGGGGTGCATCCGGTGCAGTATTTGACGTTATTGACAGGCCATGTTGTTGCAGAAAAGCAATGTTAGTGCAGCTGTGGTACGTGCCGAGCACATCTGGACCACAGATTTGGGAACGCATTTTGTGTGTGTTTGTTTGGTCTGCCCCGTCTCACTCAAATTAACGACTATTGCACGATACGGAGAGAGGATGGAGCGAATTAACTTAGCAGGGGATCATACGGGGAGAAGCTGGGGGAGTGTGTGGGGGCGGGGGTGATCTAAAAGTGGAGACTTTACAATCTAGTCTGTTTTGAACAGTCACATTCCTCTGAATCATATTAGACACTCTAGGTTGATTGCAACAGAGGAAAAAATTAGTGAGCTGCAGACTAACTACAGATCAAGGTTGCGGTCAAGTAGAAAATTTTGCTTATTATTGCCGGCAAGCAGACACTTCCAGGTCACGTCACTCAGTTAGGAACCTAGAAAGCACAGTAATACTAAGGAAAGATACTTCAGAGTGTCCTCCAATACTTCCTTTAAAACAGGATACGCTGGACCATCCTTTAATAAAGGAAAGGAAAGGTTGAAAATGGTGCTGCAAAGTGATGCAGATCATCATGAAAAATATTCTATTTTTTGGAAATAATGAAAATTATGTTAAGGTAGCAAAAAGTTTCCCATTATAAAGCTGCCACCCTGACTAAAACACTTTGTAATGTAAGCTTATAAAAACACTGTACAGAAAGATGGCTGTTTATATATTAAACTGATCAAAATAAAGGGAAGATTACAGTTTAAAGTCGTAGTTTCCATTGGTTATGTCCTCATTTGAGACGTTTTAGGATTAATTAAATATTGTGACAGACAGAACTGAATTCTTTTCCCTTCACCCCCCAACCAGTAATGGCAGCTGCTCCTCCCTGAGCCTGGTTTCTCCTTTTAAAAGGGAGTTTTTCCTCCCCACTGTCGCCAAGTCCTTGCACACAGTGGGTCCGGTGACTCCTGGGGTCTTCTTTGTATTATTGTAGGGTCTTTACCTCACAATATAAAGCGCCTTGATGCAACCACTGTGGTAATTTGGCTCTATATAAATACAATTTAACTGAATTAAACAAATACGAGTTGGACATTAAGGTGAGGAGAGCTTCAGTCTTGATAATGAAGTCATTGCTTTCATCGGGATTTCCATATTTTATGCTACGTCCTGATGAACAGAGTTAACTTTTTGGGATTTCCTTACCTGGATGGTTGAGCATGCACCAATGTTGCTTGGGTAAAGTTTATCATTAGTTTTACTAACCATTCATTTTTTAATTAGCCATTATGTCAATACTGTGTCATCAAAAAAATACAATGTCATACTTTTAATTGGCCAACAGTCATTATGCATTCATGTCTACCTTATTTATATGCGGGGCGACCGTGGCTCAGGGGGTTGGGAAGCGTATCTGTAACCGGAAGGTTGCCGGTTTGATCCCTGGGCTCTCTGTCCTGGTCGTTGTGTCCTTGGGCAAGACACTTTTTACCCTACCGCCTACTGGTGTTGGCCAGAGGGGCCAATGGCGCGATATGGCAGCCTCTCTTCTGTCAGTCTGCCCCAGGGCAGCTGTGGCTACAACCGTAGCTGCCTCCACCAGTGTGTGAATGTGAGAGTGAATGAATAGTGGCATTGTAAAGCGCTTTGGGTGCCTTGAAAAGCGCTATATAAATCCAATCCATTATTATATGATACAATTACCATGTCGGTCTAATCTGTTCTGTCATGTTTGGTTTAAATAAATCTGTAATTTCAAGATATTCAAAATTTAACTTCAGCACAGCATAATACAGCATACATGGAATTATGTGTAATTCTGATTGAGGATGTTTGTAGTGCAGCTTTAAAGATTTAAAGTAAGCTTTTAAATATAGGCTGCGTGTATTCTTAACAGACCATAATTCATGGTGGTTTAACTTTGCTGCTTTAAAATTTCAGCGATCTAGAAGAAAACGTTTAAATAGGGCAGACGGCCGAAATTTGAACTCAGCTTTACCTGTGCCGCTGTGAATGAGTGAACTGCCGCATAAACACTGTGCGATGCTTGTTTATTGACTCTTTCCCGTGCTCCATTTCAAGCCATTCATTGCTCCCGTTGCTGCGTGAGATGAAGATAAATGTGCACGGTCACATTCTGCTTCTGCTGGACTAAGATGTTCTTTATTTACCCACTGCTATGTTGAATCGTTGTGTCAGAGTCTTAAATAATGATGCCTTATTTTCCATTCACAAAGCATTCGTTTAACTCTGAACAAATCTGGGATTAAATCAACTCTAATCAGTTGTTTTGGAACTGGAACATTTGAAAGTTTTGCTTTTTGTTTGGTTTTTTTAAACTTCCTGGAACAAACCCAGAGAAACTCGAAGAATGTCAGATGTACTTTCAGATTCCTTTCTGGTACACTGAAACGATTAATCCGAAAAGATACATTTAAAATAATACAAATAAATTTCCATAATTCTTGCTGTTCTTGTCTTGCATCTGGTTTTTCCAAATATTATCATCGTCTTTATATTTGGCTCATATTTGACTAATGTTATCTCCCTGTATGCGCTGGACCTCATATTAAGTAAGTTGCTCATTACTCAATAATACAATGCGAGGATGGCAATTTAATTAATGTCATTTCTGTTACATAACTGTAGAAAAATGCAGTATCTCTGATCTTGTCTGTATTATAACAACCAGACAGGAGACATGAGACAGTGATGAGCTTTATTTTTTTATAAAACTAAAGGTTTAGACAGTGAAGTCACAGAAATGAAGTCAACATTTGTCACTATCCTGTCCCCAGATGAGCTCCAGTTAACATTTTACCGTTTTGCTGCTTTATAAACTCACAGCACACATTTTATGACACTGTAGCGCCCTCTAGTGATCACTCAAGGTTAAAACCGTTATTACTTTATAAACTGGCTAATAGGGTAGAATAGAATAGAATTCAACTTTATTGTCATTGCACATGCACAGGTACAGGGCAACGAAATGCAGTTTGCATCCATCCAGAAGTGCTTTAGTGATATAGATATATTACAATATATATTAGCAACAATATAGATATGCAAGTATGTTACAGAAATGGGTCTATTATGGTATGTTATAATGTACACGGTATGAAGTATGTTATGAATATTCTATAAGTATGTACAGGCTGAGGAAATATGTGCAAATATAACCTGAATTTGGATATTTCATATTTGAATTTGTTTTAATATTTAATTTGAATCGCTCAAATGTCTTTTTTCCCACAACATTTCTTAATGCACAAACAAACTGGAAGTCAGCTGACCTCTTTCATACACAGATTCCTTTCTGACTGGCCAGAGAGAGATGTGTCAAAGTAAACCAAAGTTTAATGGAAAAAATGTGAATCTGGAGTTTGAGAGATAAAAGTAAGAGTAGGAGGATTGAGACTTTTTCTTTTTTTTTTTTTTTTAAATTGAGCTATATATTTATTTATTTTACCTGTTTAAGTCATTTTGTTATAGTCTTTCATGTTTAGATGCTCCCACTTCTCACCTTAGGATAAATAGCACATTACCTTATTTAAATGCCTTTAGGTCAAATATCTGTCCGTCTAATGTTACCTGTAGATTAGCAGATACACCTCGTCTGCCTTGCTGAGAGCAAGAGCCCCATCCCCGAATTCGATAAGTGGAAGAAGCTTGTTAAATGGATCGTTGTAACTCTTCTACGGTGTTAGAAAAAAAAAGTCAGTTATTCAAGATGTGATTTATTATATGGTTCAGTTTCGAGCTTTTTACATATATATATTAAAAAAAAAAAAAAAAAAAAAGAAAATCACAATTTTGAATTTTTACAGTATCAAAGTCACTGGTTGTTCTAAACTTTCTGCCGTTAGCATCTGTGCTGGGAGTTAGACTTCAGTAAAATAATCCTGCTAACAATATTCAGGACAAGACAGAACAAGAAATGTTCCAGAGTCACTTAGAAATCTTGATGAAACAAAGTATTGAAAACAGCTCTTTGACAATAAAACATTTAGTGAATTGTACATGATAGTTTACATTCTTTTGAAGGTAACATTGTTAAAACATAAAGTCGACTAAATATGTACAAACACTTACATTTCAATGTAAAAATGATCTTAAGGAGGCTAGTTTGTAGAGTAGTTTTTAGCAGTTTTAGTAGTTTCTGCTTCTTTAAAAGGATTAAAACAAAGAACCTAAAATACACTTTGGCTAATTCTTGTTAGACGGGTCAGACTCTGATCAAAAGTAGTGCATATCATGGACACAGTCGAGACAAACTGGAAGAAGAAAAACAGTGCAAAGCACTGGTGTGCACATTGTTTATACTCGTGGCTTAAAGGCTAGTTTCATTGTGTTTCATCCTTGTGTATTTCCTGTCACTGAGGTTATTGTGTTTTTGTGGGTCATGCTAAATTTATACTCTCCACCTCCATTGCAGAGATTCAGGAAAGAAAAAAAAAAAATTATACCGGGGGACCATATTTGACCAAAAACAAGTTTTACATGAATAGTTTGTTCTTCCTAGAGTCAAACCAAAAACACAGATTAGCTGCCTGAAATGGCCATATTACTTTACAGTTCTCCATCCATGAAACCTGTTAAAACAGAACAGTTTTCTTTTTTGTGTTTTTAATAAAGCTGAATGTCTTAAAACCAATTTCAAATCATGTATATTGTTGGCTCAGGTCTATTTTGACTATGGTCTGCCTTTACAGACAGCAGGCACTGACCACTGTTAACTTCTAAGTACTCCACTCTTTATTAACTTTGTATAAAGGTAACTAGTAAGGTTCCCATTGGTCCTACAGCTCAAAGTCACCTTCCACAATCATCGTACAGATGCCGGATGTGTTACACATGAACACAAAATGGAAAACTAAGTTATGGTTATGGTCAGTTCGAGAAACAATAATGTAGATATTGATAAAAAATGAAATCACAAGGATCCTGCCGATTCTTACAGTTTTAAATGGTTTGCAAATAACTGCAAGAAAGTTTTATAGGCAAAAACCCAACAAACCTTCTGTATACAGCAGGTAAAGTATTGAATACATCACCAATTATCTCTAAAGGTCCCATTGACATGAAATCTCCAGATGCCTGTAACAACCCATCCGAGCCAAATGACACAGTGGAAAAGTATTGAACAATTTTTTTAAATTAATTTATATAATTAATAATTAATTTATATAATTTAATAATTTATACATTTGATATTGAGTCGTTTAATACTTGGTACAAAAGCCTGTGTTGGTGACAACAGCTTCAAAATTGCTCATGTGTGATTTTGGCCCAGTCTTCCACACAAACATCAAATCCTGATTCCACACCTCTCTTCTATAAACTCTGAAATTTGGTTCTTTCCATACATTTCCAGTTGGATTCAGGTCAGATGATTGGCTGAGCCATTCTTACAGCTGTATTTTCTTTCGCTGAAACCAATCGAGAGTTTCCTTGGCTGCGTGTTTGGGAACATCATCTTGCTGAAGCGTTTCATCGTCATCATCCTGGTAGATGGCAGCTAATTTATATCAGGAATGTCTCAGTACATTTTTCAATTAATCCTTCTTTCAATAATATGAAGTGTGCCGGTGTTGTATGCTGAAAAACAGCCCCACACATGATGATCCCACCTCCAACCTTCACTGTTGGTATGGTGTTTTGGGGGTGATGTGCAGTGCCTTCTGCTGATTCCAGGTCTTTCTGTAGCTCTCCACAAGTGCTCCTTGGCTCTGGGACAACTCTGACAATTCTTTCCACTCCTCTGTCTGAAATCTTGCGGGGAGCACCTGGTTGTGGTCGGCTTATGGTGAAAAATGTTCTTTTCACCTCTGGATTATGGCCCCAACAGTGCTCAATGGAATCTTCAGTATTTTAGAAATTCTGTAACTGGTGCCATCAGCATGCTTTCCAACAATAAGGTTGTGAAGGTCTTGAGAGAGCTCATTAGTCTTACCCATCATGAGAAGTCTCTTCTGTGACACATTGGTAATGAGTCACCTTTTTATAAGCTGCTGGTTTGGACTGAACCAGCTGACATTAATTTGCACTAAGCGTCAGGATTATTTTCTAATTACTGATAGATTTCAGCTGGTGTCATGACTTTCCATTCCTTTTTGCGCCTCGCTTTCTTCATGTGTTCAATACTTTTTCCCTGTGACATTTCTCACCATTACACATAATCTGTGGATGTCTGTGGTTTGATGTGGGTTTTGCTGACATTTTGGTAAAACTGCACTCGTGTGGATCGCATGTCCGACACGTGCCTGCACTTATCTGAGAGAAACGCTTCCGGCGAGGGAGTTGCTAAGGAGGGTCAGTTACTTTAATCAGCCACTGTCCTTACTGCCATCATTTCTTTTACAATAAAATGTACACTGTAAAATCTTGCAGAGAAACTGTCAGTTTTGCACTTTGCAAGGACGGCAAAAACAATTTTGTGGTGTTACGTGGCTTTGTTGAAACATGCTTTCACATAAAGGCACGTATGTGCAGTGTATGATATTCCACTCCTATGTTGGACAGCTACAAATCTCCACAATACCGAATTCTTTGGATCCCTCTGTTCAACAACGTCTTCGTCTTTTGAGCCGTGGTCCGCGTTTGTTGTCATAGTCACTGGTTCGGTTTGGCACTACTCCCATTGTCACTGTCACGCTGTGTGTAAAAATATAAACCGAATGCCTTCTATTGATTTTGTGCTGATTATCTCTCATATTTCTACTGAGGAAAAGTTATTTTGCAATAATTATCATTTTAAATCCCGTTCCCTAAATTATGAGGTGACTTTTTCTTGTTGGTGGTTTTAGAGATAATCAATGGTGGCCAACACTAACATAGAGCCAAGTTTATCAGTTCTAACTGTGCTTCCTACAGGGTAACGTGAGATTTATTGATTAGTTAATGCCACCTTATTATAAAATGCCTTTTCATCCCGGCAAAGATACGCTTCATCAGAGACGTTCCAGTACATCCCAGCAGGCCTGTCTCATCTTTCCCTTGTTAGTTAAACATGTTTAAGGTTATGATAATGGTTTACAACAGCTTTACTGAGCTTAAGTTGCCTGGTTCTTCGTCTCCTGCCATTGTTTCTCCCTCAGACTGAGCTCTGCTTCAGAAAAGGCTGCAGGGCCCCAGTTTGTGATATTCTGCTGCCCCTTGGCACCTGAGCAAGAAACAGAAACAGAAAAAACATTGTTGCATGGCAAATACACACACACACACAGCAAAACTGTTTATAGCGTAAACCACACAGCATATCATCACAAATTCGCCAACAGTAAAGCGCAGCAATGGAGCAGTGATGATTTGAGCTTAATTTGCACCCACAGGACCCAGGCTCCATGCAGTCACTGAGTCTCCTCTGTGCACCAAAGTATTCTGGAGTAAATTTTTGAGGCCATCTAATAAACATCTTAGGTTTGACCCCCCCCCCAAAAAAAAGTCTTAAAAAAAGAGACCACAACAGCTGATCCTCAGCTAAAAATCTGAGGATTTATTGTATGTGTAACTGCCATTTTTCTTCAAATTAAGCTAGCATTGCAAAAAAGTTGCAGGACTCTAGATGATAGCCTCTGTCTGATTAGCAGCTACAGAGTAGACCACAGAGGAAATGTTTACCAAACCCACAGAGTTCTCCCTTTCTCTCTTATCTACACTCTGTCCCTGCAGAGTGTAGCCTTCTACTTTCATGCCTTCCTCTACTGGCATGTGATTTAATGCCCTTCGAGGAGGTGGCGCTGTACAACATCACGCTCACTGGAGTCATTGCTGTAAATCAGCGAGCAAAACCATTACTCGACACACACAACTACGACCAGCTGTGCTGCCAACTATTGCAACAACCAAACCACATGCATGGTTCCAGGTACAGTTTATCTCAGTCTTGACTAATGACAGGACTGCTGTGCGTCCCGTTGTCTCCGTGTCTGCAATGGTGCAGACACGGAGAGAGACACCGAGAGTGTACTGACAACTTCTATGATTATAACCAGGGGTGCACATAAATGGTCCGCAGGTGCGCATTCGCTGTCAAATTAAAAGACGCGCACCAGATAAGAAGTTGCGACGCGCGTTTGCGTCCATATAAAAAGCACTGTTTTTGTCCGCTAGAGTGGGATTTTCACAGCACATTCCGCACCACATCTCTGTGCGTTCATCATTTGTTTGAAGCCAGCTCACCTCCTGCAACCACTTTCCGAGAATACGTGCTTCTTTTGCGGTTCGGACTCCTTCTGATCTTTCTTTGGAGGTGGAGGAACATCACAGTAATTGCTTAAAGGAGCTTCTTCGACATCTTTAAGAGTTCTAAACAAATGTCTGTCCTCCTCCAGAAAATCTTATGTACGCAAACGTTGTAACTTCTTATCTGGTGCACGTCTTTTATTTTGACAGCGAATGCGCACCTGTGGACCACTTATGTGCACCCCTGATTATAACCAGCTGCAACTGACTGCACAGTTTATAACATATCATAGGTCAGTTTTTACATGAAATAGAATGGCATTTTTTATAATACAACATTTTTAAAAATCCTAACTATCATTGTGATTAGGTTTTTAACGTGTTTTTACTTTTTTTTTTTTTAAATCTGAATTTATGTTATAGTGAAAAAAAACAACTCATTTTATATTTTCTATATGAATAAACAGATGTATGATATTCTGAATATATCACTATCACCTAAAAATAATCCCAACCCTAACCTTAAACTTGAATTTTAACTGTCAAACAGCTCTTAAGAAAAGCACCACATGGTGCAGGCGGATGCTCATTGGGTTTCTGTTTACCTGGTTGAATGAGCCGTAACAAGCCCTCATGTTCAGCCACTTTGTGCTTCCAGGTCTTGGTGTTGTTGGTCGCAGTTTCCAGCTTCTTCTTTACCGTCTGGCTCACACATGGAGAAACAGAAAACGCAACACATGTGTGAGGTTTAATAGATGTAAACATGGCACCTATCAGCATACTGATTCACAAGTGGTTAGTATTAAATCTCTTGTCTAAAGAAATCTTGTCTAAATGGCTAAGCCTGAACAGGTGTCCCTGAGGCTTCCACAAAGTATTTGATTAAAAGTGAATTCTTTTGGGAATGACAGACTAATCACATGATGAGTCTGCATATTTGCATGGAAAGCTGCTGTGCAAATAGTCCAGTCACTGCTAGCAAGGTGGATGCTGCATGTTCTGCCTCCTGCATGCAGGTGGCCCCCACCTCTAAACCACATGTAGCAGCTTCTGTAGTTTGAGTGGAGCAGACCGTCTCCTGCTGTGTGCTACATATGAGGAAGGACAACTGAAAGCAGCTTTGAGGACATATGTTAGGTGCAAACCTCAAAGACTGCTCAGTAACTGCTTTGAACTACAGCAAGAGGCACAATTTAGTCATAAAATGTCAACATTCATAGAAATGATGATAAGTTGAGTTTTTCCCTTTTTATTGTTTTAATGATTTATTTGTGGGTAACGGCTCCATTCCACAGAGGAGTTTTCACACTACTCCTATTGCATCCATATTTATACCCCCCATCACTGACCTCATACTGCTCCAGCGCCCCCTGCCTCTCCAGCTCCAGCTGCTCCAGCTGCTTCATTGCAGCTTGCAGGGCGCTCTCCTTGGCCAGACGCTCCTTCTCCAGTTCCTCTTTCTCAGCCACCGTGACGGAGATGGCCTGCTTCTGCTGCAAATGGATCTGCTCCAACTCTGCTCTCTTCTTGGCCTCCTCCTCCAGTAATCTGGTCCACAGTACATATATCATTTACTACAGGCAGGCTTCAGCATGGGCCCTACCCCCAGGAGGGTCAGATCACTGCATAAACAAAGCATGTGGACCGTACATGCGTTTTCCACAGATTTGACACTTCTTGAGAAAAATATTAGACCCTGTGTAGTTACTATTATCAACAGTGTGTGCACTGTATACTGTACACACACACACAAAAAAAAAAAAAAAAAAAAAAAGTGTTTGCCCCCTTCCTAAGTTTCTAGTTTTTGTATGTTTGTCAGACATTAATGTTTCAGATCATCAAAAAATGTAAATATATGTCAAAGAATAACACAAGTAAACACAAAAGGCAGTTTCTAAATGAAGGTGCTTACTCTTAAGAGGAAAAAGAATCCAAACCTACATGGCCCTGTGTGGAAAAAGTGATTCCATTATCCACAAATGGTGAAAACATGGAACAGTGGTGAACCTTCCCAGGAGTGCCCAGCTGACTAAAATTACCTCAAGAGCACAGCGACGACTCATCCAAGAGGTCACAAACAACCCCAAAACAACATCCAAAGAACTGCAGGCCTCACTTGCCTCAGTTAAGGTCAGTGTTCATGACTCCACCTTAAAAGACTGGGCAAAAGTGGCCTGCATGGGAGTTTCAAGACAAAAAACCACTGCTGAGCAAAACGAACATAAAGGCTCGTCTCGTTTTGCCCGAAAACATCTTAATCATCCCAAAGACTTTTGGGAAAATACTCTGTGGACTGACGAGACAAAAAGGTGTGTGTCATTTCAGAAAAGGATCATCATGCCAACAGTAGAACACTGTAGTGTGATGGTCTGGGTCTGTTTGCTGCCTTAGGACCTGGAAGACTTGCTGTGGTAAATGAACCATGAATCCTGCTGTCTACCAAAACGCCCTGAAGGAGAACGTCCGGCCGTCTGTTTGGGACCTCAAGCTGAAGCAAACTTAGATTTGGCAGCAGGACAATGATCCAAAACACATTAGCAAGTCCACCTCTGAATGTCTTAAGAAAAACAAAATGCAGACTTTTGAGTTGCCTTGTCCTGACTTAAATCCGATTGAGATGCTATGGCATGACCTTAAAAAGGCAGTTCATGCTCGAAAACCCTCCAGTGTGACCGAATTACAACAATTCTGCAAAGATGAGTGGACCAAAATTCTCCACAGTGCTGTAAAAGACTCATTACCACTTATAGTTTGGTTGCAGTTTTAAGGGTGCTCCAACCAGTTATTCGGTTTAGGGGGCAATCAGCTCACCTTCATTTAGAAACTTAATTTTGTATTTACTTGCATTATGTTTGTCTAACATTTAAATTTGTTTGGATTATCTGAAATATTTAAGTGTGACAAAAACACACAAAAAAGAGAAAATCAGGCAGGAGGCAAACACCTTTTCACAAATAAAAGAGAAATATATTTCCAGGCTGTAAAAGTAGAATTGTTTTAAAAAGAAAAAAAAGAATAATAAAGAAGCTAATGTATAAATCAGTTGTAAACGGATGTGTCAGCAGGTGGTGCAATAGTGTAGTTAGACAAGTAAATATAATAAACATAAATGTATACAAACATAATTTAGTTCAAAATTTTTTATGAAATATATTTTCCATAAAGGTGATCTGAGTTTGTGATGTCATGATTTGTATAGTTGATATTTTTTGACACTGAGACTGTTCATATGTATATAGTGCTGCACAACTGTGCCCCTGGCAAATCTCCTCTCTCAAAATTTCAGTGGCAAGTCTTTAATATTTCTTGTATCTCATTAAGCACCTATACGTTTCATTATAAAACACTGCCATTTAGGTCTCAGGCATGTTTTACTCATTTAACTGTGGTTGTAGAGAAAAAACAGCCACTGAAAATTGTCCTCTTCTAAAGAACTGATTGACATTTTTAACACAACGACTACATTTAAAGGAAATACTCGCTGGTGACTTCTCAAACGTGACCTGGAATGTATTCATCAGCAGATAGGAAGGAAAGATGAGGGAGGAAATGTCGAGTGTATGAAGGAGAAGTTGAAAGTCTGGCTGTGTATAGCCTCCTATATTAGGAAAACAAAGACTTAGACTCAGCTCTTTGGACAGAGGTTCATGTGATGCACTTCATTAGGAATAATAAGTTTCATGCTTCACTGAAATTTGGTAGCACCCGTGCTGGATTGTTAAGGTAACAAAAAGAATTTCTATGAATATATTTATCCCAGTGTTATGCTTTCCAGATAGGAGACGTATGCAAAGATCCGAGTGACCCAAGTTTCCTCATCAGAGGATCTGAGTGAGGCTCTGTGGGGAATATTCTTTATACAAACCCAAACATTTCTCCCTCCGCACACCCTTTGACTCACCGTGTCTGCAGCTTACGGATGATTTCCTCATCCTGTCTGGCACGTCTCTCGTCTTCCAAAGCGTGCTCCAGTTGGCGATACATGTCTTCCAGCTCATGGACCCTCTGCAGGTACTGCTCCAGCTCAGTGGACTTCTCAGCCAGGTTTTTCTCAATCTGCTGCCGCACCTTTAAAACCAGGAAACACAGAAGTATACTTAACCTGGAATTCAAAATTAATACTCATAAGATCCATTCGTGTGTGTTTATACACCACTCTGAAATCATTAGATTTTTTTTTTTTTTTTTTTGTCCCATCTCTTGCTGGATGTTATTTCCTGTTGAAAGCAAGGTTTTCCTTCCCACTGTTGCCAAACTGCTTGCTCATAGGGGATCATCTAATTTTCAGGGTGTTCTTTCTCATACATACATACTTTATTTTATTTTTATTTTTTTTTTAAACTGACTTGACTTGTATTAAGCGTTGGAGTTTGCATATTGGTGCCAACTCTAAAGTGCCACAGCAGGTGCGCATATCTAAAGTACTCTTGTCATGATTAATCGACATCTCACAGGAAACCAGAGTTTGATATTAGATGTGTAAAATAAACAGACAGACAGGTGCAACCTAAAACCTCAGAGATAACTGCTATCACAACTGCTATCAGCTCTCTGTAAACTCAGGCTTTCTGCTCCAAGTGCGTTCACATAAAAGAGGGCTGATGACTCCCATCAGACACATTATCAGAGGAAAAATATATATATATATATATATATATATATATATATATATATATATATATATTATATATATATATATATATATATATATATATATATATATATATATATATATATATATATAACAGAAAGCTGATAGTTATCAGTTATTTCAGGCTCTCACTGCTTTCACATAAAAAAGGGCCGCCTACATCCAGAGACAGAGGAACAGGTGACAGCAAAGAAATATAACAGCAAAATATGACCAAAAAAAAAAAATCAGCCTTGTGAGTTCATAAGTTAATATTTATTCTAGCAGTCTTTACATCCATGAGTGCTGCTGTTTATATCTGATATTGTGGGTGCATTTAAAGTGCATTGTGACACTGTCCCAAAGCCTTCTGATGGAGGGCTGTAAACCACTTTAGTTTATGCTCAGATCAAATTTAAATATTTTCTGTTGACTGAATATTATTGCTGTTCAATAGCCTTCAAAAGGCTGCTGTATTATCCAAATCCCACTTGGAGCTTATTGACGGGAAAAGCCTCAATGAAAGCATTTGAGAGTCACCTTAGAGCTCAGCGTACCTCACTAACTCATTGTTATTGTATCTTTATTTCAGACATATACAGAAAAAATGATATATACAAGTACACATACTTGCATTTACATATACAAATATGAATATATATGTAAATACACACATGCATGTGCGCAGACAAAACAAAAAAGTAAAATAAATAAAATAGAGTCTAAATGACATGAAATTACAATTATTAAGTCTGAAATGGAGTAGGAAGAAGTATAACATACTTATTAGCATTAACACTGCTTCATATAACACCTCTGGGATCAGAAGTTTATGAATCAGCAGTTTTTATAATCAACTGATCAATGGGCCATCAGGATTGATCAGCAGAATGAGTTTTAACTCATTAGTGGAGATGATCTTGAGCAAACACTAAAAACCTCATGCTATTCTCAGTGGGTAGCTCAGCTGGTGTGGACGAGTGTGAGAGAAAGTGGAGTTAAGCGAAGTGCTGTTACAACCAACTTAAACCGAGTAACATATTAATGATGTATAAGATTAAGTAAGAAATACAAATCAAAATTACGCCGTCTCTTAGGATCAACTAAGTGGGACATCTGAGAGCAGAACTGTGACTAAAGAACCACAGTTAAACATCTCTCTGCCATTTCACCACATCCATGCTGTGTAGCAAGCATGTCAAGATGTTATCAGTGGCATTCGAGCACAGTGAAACGGGGCTCTTTTACAAACAAGTGTTTGTGAGTAAGAAAGAAAACGCCATCAGTGTTAGCTGAGCCTCATAGACACTTCTTAACCACACACTATGTTCTTAAATGTGAGGCAACAAACAACATCCATTCAAGTCTCTCCAAATTGCTGCTCAAGACTCTGCAGTACTTTTCTGTTTTGTGTTTATTTTAGTAGCTCTTCTCAGTTTATGTATTTAACAAGTTTATGAAAATTGTTCCAACTTACCCATTATTGCATGCTCTCAATAATACAGTGATATATTGTTCCTTTTATTAATTTTGTTCCTTGTAAGGTGACCTTGGGTTTCTGAAAGGTGCCCTCAAATAAAATGCATTATTATGAATATATTTGCAGCCTGATAATTGAGGATTAATGTCCCTGAATATAAAGCAAGTGCAGTAATTGACCAGTCTGGTGCCCCCCACACCCACCCATCCATCCATGTCACGAGTAGAGTCTAGAGGCTAGAGTCTATTCCAGCTACTATGGGGTGAGAGTTGAGGTACACCCTGGACAGGTCTAGTCACAGTCTGTCTCACGGCTAACACAGAGAGACAGACAACCATTCGCACTCACATTCACATTTAGAATCATCAGTTAACCGAACCTTGCTATCTGCATGTCTTTGGACTGTGGGAGGAAGCCAGAGCACCCGGAGAGAACCCGCACAAGCACAGGGGGAACATGCAAACTCCACCCAGAAAGGCCCCGGCCAGATGGTGGGGTCTAACTCAGGACCTGGTAGTGTTTGACTTCGCTTATTTTTTGTTTTATCTGTAATAGTACTTAAGACTACACAAGGAGTGTGCAGTGCTAATATTGCTGTCATTTTAATGTGGCACTTCATCTATGGAGGCCCCCCCATTGATGACATTTGCACATATCTACTACTGATGTTTCAATACATATCTCAGATAACTGACCAAAGACTGAGTGGAATTGCACTGATGAACAGCCATCACGGAAATTATGCAGAGATACAACGAGGAGATGCAGAATTAACTTAAACAGTAGGAAGTAGGAACCACTAAACCACTAAAATTGTTTTTCTGTTCAGGAATTAAAGTAAATAACTCTAAATTGGCATTTTAATCAGAAGATCCAGTACTAGAGTGTACTTAATGAAGTGTAGCGCAACAATATTAAGATGTTGTCAGGCAGAGTAATCAGAAGTTTGTGGTAATGGTGCAGAGGAAACATCCATGTATGATATTAAGTCCAACTGGCACCACTATGCTCGACTGTACATTATAGACATTACATGCAGATGAAAAGGATTGACAGACCAGTTTCTCTCTCTCCAGGTCCCTCCTGTAACGGTCCTGGAGCTCAGTTTGGGTCTGAAGGCGTCTTTTTTCTTCTTCTGCTGCGTCAGCTGCTGCCTCCTCCAGAGCCTGCCAAAAGAGCAACAGACAAGCCAAAAATGAAATTTTTTAATTTTCCTTTTTTTGCAGAGTGGACTAAAGCAGTATGTGAAATCACACATTTCACACCCTTGTAGTGTCAGGTTAAAGAGACTGTTTGGTGGTGTTACTTTTACATACACTAAAATATCACACTCTAGTCAGGGATATAACCAGGGCTTAGAAAAGCTACACTTCTCAATAAATTAAAGTCCTAGAGTCGTAAAACAGCCAAAAAAACAAAATAAAAACAAAACAAAAACAACAAACAAAGCCTGGAATTTTGAAAACTGTAAAGGGCTTCACTCTTCCTGCTTTTGCAGAAGCAACTACATATATGAAAATTTGAAATATGTGCTGTGGGTATATAATAAAGACATAAAACAAGATAAAGCGTGGACTTAATCCTTTATTGGAATTAAAATAACACAAGGCAAAAGTTACCTACGATTAACTGGCTTTACCTTCGATTCGCTCCTCGTACCTTAACCAATCATCAGTCATCATTCTTAAGGAGTCATGCTACAGTCCAACTCGACACACTGGGGGGAATGATACCAATCTGGCAACATGTCCAGTGTTTTCAAAGAAAAAGCCATCAAAAGCACGTGTTGTTTGTGTTTTGGCGTCCTCATAGCAATGGCCGTAATTGTAATACTTAATTTATACAGTTTCATCATCAAGTGCCATCATTTTGAGACATATTGCCAAGTGAAGTCTAGTTGAGGAGATAAATGATTTTGCAGTAAAGGTTAGGGATTGGCTAAAAACCAACCAGAACTGTAGCTCTTCTAATTTAATTTTCCCTTCTAAAGCCTGGTAATTATATCTATTATGTTTTATTTTGTTTTAAGCATCTAGTAGTTTTATGAAACTGCTGTGCAGACAAAAGGTTAGCCAAGGATGAGAACTGAAAAGTAGTAACACATATATAGTATGCAGCACATCAGTTTCATGCTCCATTTTGAAACTGGCGAACTACATCATAACTTTTAAATAAACTTGAAATTAAAAAGCAGTTTCTCCATTTTAAAAACCACAGAATGAAAAAAGGAAAACAAACAACGAAACTGGTGTGAGGGGGAAGTTTCAGCAAAGACCTGTCAGGGGGGGATTGCTGCATGTTTAATTTTATTTGTGTGGTTTCTAACAGACTAACAGAAATGAATGCGCTGCCTCTGAATAGGTATGCAAATGTAACACCAGCAGCGCTCTATGAAGGCAAATTGAGCATGAAGTAATACACACTGAAATCATTTGTCCTGCAGAGTTCAGACTTCTTGGAATAACAAATGTTTTACCATTGCGGTTGCATTTTATTTTTGGGTTGGTTTTTTTTGTTTTTATTAAAAAAAAAAAAAAAAAAAGTAAAAGAAGAAGAAGACTACTAGTCATTCTCTCATGACCTTCCACGTTTATCTGGGTCGATGTAACCATTACAGTTACAGCAACTGTATTGTTTTTGTCACACACACACACACACACACACACACACACACACACACACACACACACACACACACACACACACACACACACTCTCTCTCTCTCTCTCTTAGCCTAGTCATTGCACACTCTACATGGTTAATCAATGCACCCCGACTCTGCTATGGATCCATGTTATTGCTGATTGTTATTAAATTGAGATTTTAGCAAAGAAACAAAAACCAATTGAAATAGACCAACACAATGGAGATGGCACTGTGCTACAGTGCTAATTTAAAACACAAGTAATATAAACACAAAATGTGAAAACTGTTGCCTGCCAGTGCTGCCGCTCAGCATCCTATTAGATTCAAACATGGTATCAACATGAAAATCTTACACTGCTCGATCGTTATCGCGTTCACAGAGATGGGGGTCCACACTACCTGCGAGGCCAGTTAATGACAATACCCATCAGGATTTTATGGCTGATAAATAATCAGGATTTCAGACAGTGGTAAGCATGCTAGCCAGTTACTTCACATACTGGTATCATATTTGACCATTTTTAAACTATGGTAAATGGCCTGTATTTGTATAGCGCTTTTACTAGTCCCTAAGGACCCCAAAGTGCTTTACGCATCCAGTCATCCACCCATTCATGCACACATTCACACACTGGTGATGGCAGGCTACATTGTAGTCACAGCCACCCTGGGGCACACTGACAGAGGCGAGGCTGCCGGACACTGGCGCCACCGGGCCCTCTGACCACCACCAGTAGGCAACGGGTGAAGTGTCTTGAAAAATTACATCAAAATTGAAACTGTCCAAGCTGGGGCTCAAACCGGCAACCTTCCGATTACAAGGCGAACTCCCAACTCTTGAGCCACAATCGCCCGCTATGATAACATGAAGATCAAAAAAAATTTATATAGCACCAATTTAAAAAAAGCTGCCTCATGGCACTTTCTAGGATACAATACCAACAATATTAGAAAGAACCATCACCAGGCCCCCTATCAGCAAGTAATGGGCAACAGTGGGAAGGAAAAACTCCCTTTAAAAATAGGAGGAAACCTTTCAGCACCACCAACCTTGGGGAGGGGCAGCTATCTGCCACAGCCGGTTGTGAATGAAGGGAAATTCAGTTTAGCCATTTGTGAAACACACCCAGCAAACAAGTGTGACGAGGCTTGATTTGCACTTTCTCACCATGAGTCTCCTTTTAGATTTAGAAGAGAGAATGTTGAGTGCACGCTACAGGTTTTGTTGCTTGTTTCAAGACTTTTCCCTCATTTAACTTTCTGAATGACAAAGTTATAAAATACAACACAAGTTGCTGTCAATGTGGAATTGCAGGCGACTGTTGAAACAGGACATTTGATAAAATGTTATCAGGAGCATAAGTAGGTTTGGTGCTTCTAGATGTTTCTAGAGGTCCCTGAATTTATTACAAAATGTAGCAGCAGCAGTTTCATTAACTCCATTTTCATTTCCATCCATTTAATTAAATTGCCTAATTTCATTATCTTGCCAGGATGTAACAACACTTGATATTTCTGGGGGGGGATTTTTGTTTTTGTTTTTTTAAATAAAGACAAATCTTCCTCGTTTGCTGTAATCGAAACGCAATCAAAATTTAGTTCCAAGAAGAAATTGACCATAATTGCAATTTACCTGATATATAAAGACAACATCCCAAAAAGTTGATTCTGTTCATCTGGACGTAGCATTTTCAGTGGGAGAAATGTTTCATCACTCATCCAAGTGACTTCTTCAGTCTCAGCTGACTGCAGGTTTCCCCAAACTTATAAAAAGTACCTTTGCACAATGACTGAAACTAGCACCACTGAAGGAACAATGGGCTGGGAGGTTGGTTTCTTGATCATTAATATGCAAATTGTCATGACCACTGATCAAAGACCACTGATCAGTGCGAATGGTACCATGAGTACCATTCACAGAGAGTTGGGGAATGTCTGCAATCACAGCATTGTAAGTTAAGATAAGATAAGATAAGATAACCTTTATTAGTCCCACACGTGGGAAATTTGTTAAGTTGGTGAAAGATGTACCCTTAGGCCCCCCCTCCTCGATTCAGAGATGGTCTTTCCCTTTTCACGTAAATGGCCTCCTTGACTCAAACCAGCGTTCCTCCCTGTTCAGGATGTGTACATCCTCATCACTGTCCACTGGCCTGTAGGTGTAAATAGACTGCAGAGTCCTGGCCTGACGAGTTAGCTCTTCTGTGCTGTGCCATCCGCTTAGCCAGAGGTTGTTTGGTTTCCCTGATGTTTAATCCTGGCAATCCTCCTGGCACTTTACAGCGTACACTATGTCAGTCTGTTTGTGTCGCAGGACCCAATCCTTGGAGTGGACCAATTTTTGGTGCAGTGTGTTTTGGGGTTTAAAAACCACAGAGATGTGGGAGTTTTCACTTAGGCAGCGGTTGTCCTTCTCTCCTGGAGCGTTCTTTTGGCGCCTTCTCAGCTTTGACAAATGTCCAGCTGGGATAACCACATTTACTCAGGACCTTCTTGATATGATGTTCTTCTGCTTCCCTGGCCTCTGTATGTCATCAGGATGCTACAGTCACAGTTTGTGCTCCAGTGGATGATGAGAGTCAAACCTGTTTATAAGGTTGGGGAAACCTGCAGTCAGCTGAGAGTGAAGAAGTCACTTGGATGAGTAACGAAACTCTTTCTTCAAGTCAAGTCAGCTCTAAAAACTTTATATGGTCAGCTTTTGTATTTATAAAAGAAGCAAAGGTTCAAAAATACTAGAATAATACTAACTAAAATAAAATACATTTAAAGGTCCAACATAGCCTATATACTCCAAGGTTAAACTTTTATAATTGCTGCCATTGTTTTTGTTCTACAATCATTTAAATACATTGTGAAGCGTATAAATGGCAACACAGTCTTGTGCGAACTGTGTGTAGCTGTTTTTGGGCTCTTGGCATCTCACTGACCTATGAGGAATGTGACACCAACAATACTAGAATATACAAACAATTTATGAAAACGCATTTTTAAGTTTGCCAGCTGTTGGTGTAGAGCGTGGGTTTGTTTCGAAACAAAAACCGAACGTAACAGGGAAAAACATTTGGGTAAATTAAACTGTGCTGGTGGTTGATCAATAACCTCTTTTTGCTTCACCCCTGATGTGAACTGTCTGCAGACTGTCACAATGCTCCTCTTATAGCAGCAGTGTGTGAGAATGTCTACTGTATGCCTGTGTGTTGCTACACATGTTTGTGTTCATTGTTAATTCATGAAGCTAACTATGCGAGTTGTACACTTACACCTCAATGGTAGATTGTTGTGAGTTTAGAGGTCGCCGTTCCAGACAAAGAACTCTTGTCCTGTTCTTCAGTCTGTTAGACGAGCGCAGCGTGAACCAGGCTGACTGCAACTTAGCTTTACTCACAATGCTGGCTGCAACCCCCCCGGTCCTACACTGAACTGAAAACCTAACCACTGATACGTGGTCAATGCGGTGATTTAAGTTTAACTAAACAATACCATTCTCAGAAGATTTATCTGACCCCTTGAGTCAGATAAGAGGCCTTTTTTAATTATTTGTAGCCCATCTGCTCTGCAATGATGTTTTTTTCCTATAACAAAAATCACAAAATCAAACAGTTGAGAGACTATTTCATAACATTTGTAACATTTGCCCACATTGCAGAAGGACAGTACAAACAAACAGATTTCTCACGGATGACTAACAGCAATGAGAAAAATACTTAACCACGACAATATTGAAGATGGCACTTCCTGTTATTTCTCAGAATTAGCTGAGAGCAGCCACTAATTATCAGCATTTGAAAAAGACAAATGAAATTGCAGAAATCAGCAGTGTTGGTAGCAGCAGAGAGAGTGAGGTTTAGCAGGAGGATTTTCTGGAGCAACATGTTTAATGGCTGCTGCACCCCCTGCCCCCACATTGCTCTTTCAATCCACATTCCTTCATTTGCAGGAAGTGATGGACTATTTATTAGTCAGAGACTGCAGGGTGGAGCTGATCTATTGTTGGCATTCATGAGCTGGCAGCAAGTTTCAGTGGTAACGAGGGTTTTTAGTTGACCTACTTCAAATAGTTGCATGAGACGCGTGTGTAACCCTGCAGTGTGCGACACAAAAATACACTGTCACTTCTAAAAGTGCGCAAGATAATGATTATTGAATGATTATTTTAAGTTGTGATGCGATCTTAGAGGAATGTTGCTGGATTGGTTTTGACACTTAATTTAGACAATGACAGCCGTGATGACATACCTGACTGAAAACAGTGGTTCCTTCTCGGCCACAAACCGCCTTCGCAACACTGGTTAAGCAAGATGCAATCCCAACATTATACCATAATAGTTAGAGACATCTTGGTACTTCTAAGTTGCTGTATCTGTGCCAGTCGGCTCTATCAGTTTAGTTTTATCACTTCACAGTGCAGTGGGTGGCCACAGAGAGAGGTGGCAGGCTGCTGACCATAGCCAGTATATGTCCATTACCATCCATCCAGTTTTTGCTAGTATCTAAGGCCAGGTCACACAGAAGCAGCAGTCTAAGAAGAGAAGCCCAAACCCCCTTCTCCCCAGCCACCTCCAACGCATCTGTGGGAAAACTCAGGCAATCCCAGGTCAGCTGAGAAATAATCTCCCCAGCGTGTCCTTGGTCTACACCAGGGCTTCCTCTTGACAGGACATGCCTGGAACACCTCATCAAGGAAACATCCTACACTTACACCTGAACCACTTCAACTGACTTTTTTCAGTGTGCAAAAGTGGCGGCTGTTTGAGTCCCTCTCGAATGACTTAACTCCTCACCTCAGCTCTGAGCAAGAAGCCAGCCTCTGCAGGAAGCTCGTTTTCACAGCTAGTATCCACAAGCTTGTTCTTTTGATCACTACCCCACAGTTTGTAACCACAGATGAAGCTAGGAGTATATCAACACTTGGCTATGCCTGTTCATAAAAAATGATGACTGTAATCAATTACAGAGGGCAGCCCTGGCAGAGTTCAACACCCACTAGGGCTCACATCCTGCAACGCAGACCAACTTCTCACTGTGGTCGTACAGGGACCGAATCGCTCATAAAAACAAAACAAATAAACCATACATCCAAAGAACCTCAAAAAAACCATCCACTGAGGCTTAAAGGTGTGATTGCTTTGAAAGTAGCTAGGCCCATCAGAGGCCTTCTTTCTTTGGGCTTCCCCCCTCCACAAGCTCTCAAAAGTCAGTTTGACGCAAGCAAGCAGAAGTCAGCTCCGACAGCAGAGCTGTCTGCAAGAGCATAAATTAGCTACAGCTAAGCAGAGACGCGCTCGCCTGGATGATGGCTCCTTTGTGCACTTGGCTGTCGAGTTCTATTTGCATAAATGGCAACAAATTATTTGCTGTTTTTTGACAGAAGTATAATTCCATAAAAGGCAAGGCAGGCAGAACATTGTTTTCAGATACTTTAGGCACTTTCCCAAAATTAGTGCCACATAGTTTGCACCTTCCTGTGGAGACCGTCTGAAAAATGGAGGACAGGCTTGCAGCTTTAACACTGCAAATTCTTCACACATACAGTTGAGCCCTGAACATTTCTAAGACTTCTCTGACATGAATGTAAGAACACAAATTAGCTGGTCTTTAACCACCAGTGTGCTGTAACATTGTGTGAATAGTTCGACAGTGAGGTGCAGTTGCTCCAGTGCACTTTATGCTGGAAGAGGAATGCCTCCCATCCTTCCTCATTCTTTAATCTGAGACTGAGTACTGAGCTGTGCTTTGAGGAGTGCCGTTTTCAAACATACAAGTTCAGAACTTCAGTGAGGGAAATCCCTCAGGTTTGTCTCGCTCACTAAAGAATGCACAGACGTTTTTTCTGCTCCATTCATAATCTTATTTAAACATCCTGGTGTTCGTCTGTGATCCAACAGATGCACCTCCAGCCTTATATGCAGACGTTTCTCTCGTTATAACCTCAGTAACCACATCTCCCTTACGTGCACTTCCTATTTTCAAGAAGTTCTCAAGAGAAAGGCTGTTTTAATTACTGTTATTACTGCCTGCCCAACCGTCAGGCTGTTATCTGATAAGCTCTCTCTTCTTTTTTTCCATTTTAACAAAGGAAAATAAACTTTTATTTTTAGCTCAGAGGATGAAAGTCGGTGGCTTCACTTTACATGGTGTTTCTAATGTCTGAGGATCACATGTTGATCTTGTACTATATGTACAGTTTGCACTTATTATAGCTTTTTGTCTCTAAATGATGCTCACTCACTCAGTTTTTCCCATGAAGATATGCACCTCTGTCTCACATGACCACAAAGATCGACTTCCCTGTTTCAATACAAACAGCATAGTGAAGATGGCCAAGAGCTGCTTTAAGTCTCTCGTTTTTTCCTCCCCCGCTTTGCTTTTGTGATTTTATCTGTTATATTTTTGACAATCTCTGCATCTTTCACTTCTGTTCATTTTCATCTTTGAGATGCTACGAAACAGAAGTGATAGTGAGGCAGACTTTTTCTGACCAGACTGGATCCACGGGGGACTATTGACTGTGTGAGTTTCATCTCCTACCTTCCTCATATTTTCCAGTTCATGCTGCTTGGCCTCATTGGCTATCTGTAGCTCCCTCATCCTCAGCTCCAGTTCTTCCTGTTCAGCCTGCTGTTTCAGCCGCAGCTCTCTGCGCTTCTGTCGAGCCTCGCGGTGCGGCGCTGGTCTGCCCTGACGCAGCAGAGTCACGCAGTTCTGAACAGCTGAGACATGGATATCACACAAAAAAAATCTTTAGTTTTAGAGCTTCCTGTTTCAGGTTTTGGTTTTTCCAAGCCCCTTTATGAATTGCCACTTTCTTCCTGGAGGACAGTTTTGCATGCCAGCGTGATCCCAGCAGCTATGTTGTCAGGGGCAATTCAACCCTGGAAGGATCACTCAAGGCAAACTGGTCCTGGGAGAAATGTCACAGTAAGGAGGCCGAGCTTTAACCTATGGGGTCTGGCTGGGCACAGTCTAAAAGCACTACATGGGCTTGCTCTCTTGTGGGACCACCACTAACAGTAGGGGATATGAGAGTTTGGTGTTTTTTGGATCAGGCCGCAGTCATGGTTGGATGCCCTCTCTTACCAAACCACAGATGACAAATCTAGCTTTAGGAACATGGAATATCACCTCTTTGGGCAGGAAGGCACCTGAGCCAGTGTGAGGGGTTGGGAAGTACTGCTAGAGATAGTTGGGCTTGTCTCAATACACAGCCTGGGCTCTTTATCACTCTGGAGTTGCCATTGCTCAAAGGCAATCGTCAGGCAGTCAGGTTTAGGTATATGCATGGGATGACTGAAGGTGCCCCTTCCGGGGACTCCATTGTCCCCTTCAGGCAACTTGAATTGTCAAGAAGATTAGTGACGACACAATCTGGGGATATGCGAATGGGAGGGACCACCTGAGCCATGGTTTGCTTGTCCATAATGACCATCGTGTTTGAACATACAATTCACGATGTTCATATTTGCACTTGGCCCCAGGACACCCTAAGTCACAGGTCGATGATTGATTCTGTAATCATTTCATCAGACCTGCAGCTACAGTGGGGCAAAAAAGTATTTAGTCAGCCACCGATTGTGCAAGTTCCCCCACCTAAAATGATGACAGAGGTCAGTAATTTGCACCAGAGGTACACTTCAACTGTGAGAGACAGAATGTGAAAAAAAATCCATGAATCCACATGGTAGGATTTGTAAAGAATTTATTCGTAAATCAGGGTGGAAAATAAGTATTTGGTCAATAACAAAAATACAACTCAATACTTTGTAACATAACCTTTGTTGGCAATAACAGAGGTCAAACGTTTACTATAGGTCTTTACCAGGTTTGCACACACAGTAGCTGGTATTTTGGCCCATTCCTCCATGCAGATCTTCTCGAGAGCAGTGATGTTTTGGGGCTGTCGCCGAGCAACACGGACTTTCAACTCCCGCCACAGATTTTCTATGGGGTTGAGGTCTGGAGACTGGCTAGGCCACTCCAGGACTTTCAAATGCTTCTTACGGAGCCACTCCTTTGTTGCCCGGGCGGTGTGTTTTGGATCATTGTCATGTTGGAAGACCCAGCCTCGTTTCATCTTCAAAGTTCTCACTGATGGAAGGAGGTTTTGGCTCAAAATCTCACGATACATGGCCCCATTCATTCTGTCCTTAACACGGATCAGTCGTCCTGTCCCGTTGGCAGAAAAACAGCCCCATAGCATGATGTTTCCACCCCCATGCTTCACAGTAGGTATGGTGTTCTTGGGATGCAACTCAGTATTCTTCTTCCTCCAAACACGACGAGTTGAGTTTATACCAAAAAGTTCTACTTTGGTTTCATCTGACCACATGACATTCTCCCAATCCTCTGCTGTATCATCCATGTGCTCTCTGGCAAACTTCAGACGGGCCTGGACATGCACTGGCTTCAGCAGCGGGACACGTCTGGCACTGCGGGATTTGATTCCCTGCCGTTGTAGTGTGTTACTGATGGTGACCTTTGTTACTTTGGTCCCAGCTCTCTGCAGGTCATTCACCAGGTCCCCCCGTGTGGTTCTGGGATCTTTGCTCACCGTTCTCATGATCATTTTGACCCCACGGGATGAGATCTTGCGTGGAGCCCCAGATCGAGGGAGATTATCAGTGGTCTTGTATGTCTTCCATTTTCTGATGATTGCTCCCACAGTTGATTTTTTCACACCAAGCTGCTTGCCTATTGTAGATTCACTCTTCCCAGTCTGGTGCAGGTCTACAATACTTTTCCTGGTGTCCTTCGAAAGCTCTTTGGTCTTGGCCATGGCGGAGTTTGGAGTCTGACTGTTTGAGGCTGTGGACAGGTGTCTTTTATACAGATGATGAGTTCAAACAGGTGCCATTCATACAGGTAACGAGTGGGGGACAGAAAAGCTTCTTACAGAAGACGTTACAGGTCTGTGAGAGCCAGAGATTTTCCTTGTTTGAGGTGACCAAATACTTATTTTCCACCCTGATTTACGAATAAATTCTTTACAAATCCTACCATGTGGATTCATGGATTTTTTTTTCACATTCTGTCTCTCACAGTTGAAGTGTACCTCTGGTGCAAATTACTGACCTCTGTCATCATTTTAAGTGGGGGAACTTGCACAATCAGTGGCTGACTAAATACTTTTTTGCCCCACTGTACATGTCCTGGGTATTCTCATAAAGAGAGAAATTCAGCTGTTACTGAGGTTACACTGAATAGTGAGAGAGAAAAAAAGAGATAGCTGAAACAAGCAGTGGACATGAGCTTCCTCCAAAGGGTGGCTGGAGACTCCCTTAGGGACTGTAGTTGTTCAGTCATCCGAACAACTACAGCAGGCTCCTGGATACCTTGTAGGTCAGGTGTTTTGAGCAGAACAAAGTTTTTCTTTAACTGTGTCGAACTAACAGGTTTATTTGCAGTAGAAGTAGTGAACAACTAATTTACTGTTTATTAACAATGAGGCAGACAGCAGAAAACTATTATCGAACTACTATTGAGCAGCTTCGATAGAACTCACCTTGGATCCACTCCTGCTTCTTCTTCTTGTCTGATGCACTGATTTCAAAGCTTTTTTGTGATGACTTGATGAGAAAGAGGCACTTCTTTCCCTCTTTATCTTGTAAATGCTGCAAAGAAAAACAGAATTTACAAGCTGACAATACACAGACAAAAAACAATAACATACTTCTTTTTTTCTAAACAGTTCTCCGGTCTTTTATTTCTTATGTGCATAGGGAATTAATCTCTGTGTTTCACATGTTTAGATTCTCTTCCGCTGCTGTTCTCATAGAAATCAAGGCCGGGAAGCTGAAACAGAGTTTTACTACAGACAGCAGGCTCTTGCCTCCACACTGCAGTTTCCATCCAACAGGACGTCTCCTTTCTTTTCAGCCAAGTCTTCACCAACATAGTATGAGATTGTGTTTGGCTTCAGCACAAACCAGCGCTCCGTCCAGTTCTTTCTCTTGTGCCCTTTCTTCATCATATAGCCCTGCAGTAAGACAGAATACTTAGCGGCTTAAATAACATTCACATCCTCCTAACAGCAAGCTTCATTATAAATCAATAATTAACACTTTATGAACTGAAATTTCATTATTTGACACCATTTTTAATCAATGATTTGCATTTGTGGTTAGAATTTAATCTGTAATTGTTTTCAAAATGCTTGGTCCCAAACAGCGTTTTTCTTTTTTTTCTTTTTTTTTAAAAAAAAAAACAGTTTTAGTTTTTAGCAGAATTAATCGAAATATCGAAAAACTTCCGCATTTTTGGGGCCTTTCTTCTACTGTGAACTAAGACATTTAGAGGGATTTTGACATTTTCATTGCCAGGTGCTAAATGTGCTGTTTAATTTAGTGTGAAATCTATGACTCCTATCATTTAAAGTGGCATATGCTTCACAGTTATTACGGTAGGCTGCATCGGCACTCTTTGAAATCAGAGTAAGATGACAGAGCTTTGCGATGAAGACTGTACCATCAGTCTGTGCTGATGTGCTGCCCACCTGTTTGAGCACGTCGAGAATGAGTTCCTGGTAGACTTCACCGATTCCCATTGAGAGCGTCTGATGGTCCATGCCCTTACTGAAGTGACCCGACCCAACTAGGCTGATGAGCTCCCATGCATTCAGACACTGCTGCTTCGAGTTCAGCTGCAGCTTATAGTCCTCGAAGCGCTCCTCCACCCAGCTTCCCCCCATCGCCTCTGTCAACTTACGCAAGAAGTACTCAATCTGTACATGCAGACATGCACACAGACACACAAAGACACACACACACACACACACACCACATGCACAGAGTCATTTTTCATCAAAAGCACAGCTGTTCATTTACAATAAAAGATAACTTTCACCATTTCTGCATTTTTCCCACAATTCATCCTTACATGACTGCAGCAGCAAAATGTGCATTTCTTTTGCAAACAATCTTCCTGTGTTTGAGTTCTGATGTTTTTCCTACACAACAATAAATCTTCCAGCCTTTGTAAAAGAACAGGAAGCTCGAAACTTCCTTTTCTGCTCTTGAGCAACGGACTTTTTCCACTGGCTACTAAGTGACACAGTGAAGGGACACGTACAATATCATATGCTGCAAATAAAACAGACTACAGATGAATAAAAGGCTGTTCACGCCAGTGCTTCCCCTTTTAGTAAGCACTTTGAAAAGAAATGCTCCAGTCTAAAATGTAAGATGTTTACTGTCTCTCTTGAAAAAACAACAACAAACAAAACCTTAATGTGATTCCTGAACTAGTCAATGGCATCCTTACAGGTTAGCGTCTTACTGTGTAGCTTCTGAAGCACTTTTGATGCAAAGACAGCTCACACAGACGTTTGTGGTCAGTGCTGTGGTTTTATGACTGCAGGGTCCAAGGCAGGGCTTTTGCCAGAAAAGGGGTTAAGCTAATTATGTGGCATAGATGGCATCCCAAAGCTGCGTCTTTACACACAATTGGTGTGGTCTCAATTTTTTCAAAACCTAATTTAGCTTCTTCAGTTTCTTTCGATGTTGCTTTACTCCATGTTAAGTTGGAGATGTGAACAAAAAAACGACACCTAGAACTCACCCAGAATTTGTCTGTTCCTTTCTAGAGCCATCTGGTGTTTACATGAATTGTTTTCTTTTAATGTCACTTTTCTTACATCCAGACCAAAGTCATTTTACTTCATGAGCCACATACCAGTGAATGAGATCTCAAGTAGGACGGAGCGGTAAAACAACTGCAAAGTGCTTTTGTTTTAATGTACACAAGGCTTTCTAAAAGTATTCACATTTAATTTAACATCTATTTACGCAACACATCAACAGCCTTGGGTACTTATATGTGCACTAAAGAGCACTTCAAAGTGGATCTGCAAAAGTACAAAACCCAGTAATGTCACGTTTTTCAATTTAATGATTTAATCAGTAAATCTAAGACTAACCAACCCTCTATGACACCAACTGAGGGAAGAGCCACAAAAAAAAGAAAGGAAAAAAAACAGGGCGTACAACAACGCAACAGCATCCCATGTTTTCTGACCTCCTCAGTGACGATGATCAGGGGGTATCTGTCTTCAGACAGGAAGTTGAAGATGCACCAGATCTTGAAGGCGTCATCGTTACAGATCTTCAGCTCATTCTGCTCCATGTTCTTCCTATACGACAACGTCCAGCACATTTTGTTGAAGTCCTGACGGTTAAAGTTATCCTTCACCTGTGGCACAACAGAAACATCATCAGGTTATGTTCCACACCAAAGGAGAACAGTCTGCTTTTCCAGACGCTCACATTTTTTAAAGCTGACGTTTCAAACCACAGAGCATAGATATTATACATATGGAATATATCCTTTATCAAATCCATAATACACAACTTTAATAACGTACAACATGCGTTTCATCTACTAGCACATGCCCATGCTAGTTAGTCCAGGGTGGCTAGGCAAAATGATGTCATTAGGGTATCTAAGATGTACATGTGTGCAGGAGTGTTCGGAAAGACAGATTGTGTATTACAGTACGATGCACACAGAAACTGAGAAGGGACAAAAAGAAAAAGTGCCTCTAGGCTTTAAATTCCAGAGCCAAATGGGAGGAAAGTTCTTAAAAAGGTCTAGTCAGTGGTGTGGAGGGGATGTTTTCTTTGAGCCAGTGAACAGTAGCATCTCCATGGAGACTACCGGCTGGCTGAGTGCGCGGTCATTTGGATGAGAAGCACATCTTGTCCTGCTGGCAGTCGCCCCACAAATCCAACCACCAGCAAATGATCCCAAAACATCTTCCAGCGTTTGCCGTAATTAGAAACCAGTCAACCCTGTAACTGGATTCATCAACTATTATATCTACAGTCCATGAATCCTGCTCAAAACCATGGTTACGGCACCTGCAGTGGCCATCACACAGTTTTTAGAAACACTGGTCTAAGGTGGCAGTCAGGACATTCGGTAGCACTTCATATTGCTGTTGAACACTCAGCCTTTAACACAGTACAAACTTTAGTGGAACTACCACCCATTTTCATCTCCAGATTTTTTTTTTAATTCTGAGTAGCTTTGCATTATTCTCCATTTAAAATAATCCTCGATTTTCTTACACTAAGCCTTAGTGGAGACCCCCAGTTAACTGGCTAACAAATCATTTAGCTCCTTCCCCTATAAGTCGTCTTTATTTTAAAGACGACTGTTCAAATAGGTTTGTAGCTTCTGTGGGCACAACTTAGATGACCATAGTAAGGATATCCTCTATGACATCATACAGAGGCAAGAGTGTCGGGGGGAGGGATGTGTGAAACCAAGTGTGTACAAATCTGGAGACTGAGCTTACAAAGGCATTATTTGTCATTTGCTGACCTCATTACTTGAAAATTTTTCCCCCCTCAGCTTATCATCTCAGAGAGGCGGCCTGGTGTTTACTCATAGCCTGTGTTTGTTAGGGTTAGGAGAACTGAGCTCTTCAGGGAAGGAACACCTAAAAGTATCACCTCCAGCTGAACTCTCCAGAATGTGCTTTGCAGTCCCCTTTACAGAGCTGCGTGGGAAGTCACTCCTTTTTCCTCTGTGTAAATGTGGGCAAGACTAACGCTTTCAGAGGGAGGGGCTCAGCCACACTAACATGCACAACGCTAAAATAAGCAAGTAGTTACTTACAAAGCAAATAGCTTCTGAGCTTGTGCGTTTTATCAAATGCTTCATTAAAATGTCCTTTTTTCACAGGCAACATACAGAACAGTGAGTTTGTGAAGTATGTTCACATGATAATAAACCTTTGACTTGTGTGCTGCTTCAGCTAGTCCCGAACCTGAATCCAGTTTCCATGCTGTGACAGAGAGAGACAAACATCCAGCTTGAAAGCCTGAACGGTTTCAAGATCTGATGTAACCTGCTATTGTGCTCATTTAGGTTGAGTGCCTGTGTAGAAACCTGTCTTAGATGTTAAAGCGATAGTACTTCCTCAACTTTTGAAAGTCACCCTGAAGCATTGCTTTACTCAACACTGCAAACTAGGACTAAACGTCAATTAATTTTGACGTCTAAATGAAGTAAAACACTTTTTTTTTAATTCACAAAAAACAAAAACAAACATTCCTGTACTGTATTACTCTTTTCTCTGTGCGTCTTTGTTCTAAATCAGCGGTCCCCAACCCCCGGGCCTCGGACTGGTACCGGTCCGTGAGTCGTTTGGTACCGGGCCGCGAGAGTTGAGGCTCGGGTGTGAAATGTATGGTTTTCAGGGTTTTTAAATCGGTTTTCAGCGTTATTTTGTTATAGTTTTTATCGTTAACTCGGTTTTCCTGGGTCTTTTCACGTGTGTTATGAATAAATCTTCTTTTTTCAGTACCGGTACTAGTTTTATTTTGTTGTATTTATCCACGACACCTTAAAGGCCGGTCCGTGAAAATATTGTCGGGCATAAACCGGTCCGTGGCACAAAAAAGGTTGGGGACCGCTGTACTAAATTATTATTTTAAAACAAGAAGCACTCAGACAGCACAAACTTCAGCAAATTCAACTCACCCCCTAGTCTCTGTATTTATCACTTTGGCCTTCAGCTCAATCTATTGACCTTGATGGAAAGATCAGAGGTCAAATGTGACATATTTTAAATCTTTATAAAGTCATCGCAAACATGACTCCACATACCTACAAAGATTTATCAGAATTTGTTCAAACTTCTCCAGCTACTGTGTTTACAGAAACACGACAGCCAAACTTCTCTTTAATTGGCCTCGGCATCGTCACCTCTCCCATCAGAGATAGTCAATCTCTATGACATCATTCAGAGCCTTTTCAAGCCAAGACAGAAGAAAATGCAAAAATAAAAAAAAATGAGAGATAATAAAAATGTATTTCATGTACCTTAGCAGCGATAAATTAAGTGTGTATTCAATAATAAATAAGCAAAATAGATATCCTCATTTACTTTAGCTATGCAGATTAAATGTGGGTTTGCCTACCAGTTAGAGGTCTGCGCGGGAATGTTTTTTTAGTCCCGCTCCCGCCCGCTCCCGCAAGGTTTTGTACCGCACCCGACCGCTCCCGCTGTATATTCAGTCTTTGTTCACCCGCTGCCCGCTTAGAATAATTTTCTACCCGACCCGACCGTTCCCGCTAAATTTAGATCTGGTTTCCAAAATCTCACATTTAAATGGGGTACCACCAAAAAATAGAGATAACAGATAAAACTGCAGGTTGTGCAATGATTGTATTTATTTTTCTTAAACAAGATGCATTTATCTGTCAACATGCAACATTTATCTTTTAACATGGAAAACGTGTTGCAAAAATAAAATAAATAAAAACGAATACAGCATTGTGGCCTACTGCAAAAAGCACTGATCCATGCGCTCAGTGCGTGTAACAGGCGTGAGCACTGGCTGTACCAGTGCTCAATTAGAATGAGGAAATCACAGATATGCTGTTCCGAAAAAATGTCGGGCACGCTATATTTTCAGACCGCCCGCTCCCGTTCAAATTACACCAGAGTTACCGACCGCTACCGCATTTTATTTGGAAATTTATTCCCGCGCCGCAAGAAATCTGGTCGGGTCCCGCGGCTCCCGCGGGACAGCCGCGGGAATGCAGACCTCTACTACCAGTAACTTATCAGTCATGCTGATTCTCAGATGGTACAAATGTGTATTGAATATTTGTTGCTGTTGGGAGCTTTCTGGAGATTACTGAAGCTGAAAACAGCTGCAAGTCTTTTGTGAAGGTGAAATTACTGGCAACTATTAAAGACTGTAACAGGTAAAGATTGTTTGTGAGGCTAAAAATAGATTTTGGGTGGAGTAAAATTTAAAAAAAAAAAAAGTTACATGCCGGTGTAAAGAGGCTCCTCCCATCATGAATATTTTGCCATTCGTCACTGGTTCTGGCAGTAAGTCTGACTCAAAAACAACATATTCTGCTGTTGTTATAAATAAGGACGTGTCTCTCATGATGATGTGTTCAGGTAGCTGAATGTGTTCGCATCATGTTTGTGGTTCTGAATGCTTAATCACTCTGCAGCAACACAACATGCGAGGATAGGGTAAAGGGGAAGTCGTGAAAGCAGGATTTGTTACGAAAGAGCTTCTCTTTGCGTCACGCTCGTCTTGTTTTCGTTTTGTTCTTAGCTCGCTGGTTCTCGCTGTCTTTTCTCCTCCTCCCCTTCAAGATCCCTCTCGGTCTTTTCCCTTCAACAGTGAGATCCTTGTCAGCAAATCGCCCCCTCCTCTCCACTGCCACATGTTCATTAGGATTCAGGATCTAAACTTCAACCTTATCTCACACCGAAACAACACAACACAGAAATGTAACAAGTGGAGTCAGACTAGAATAAACTGGAAGACAAAAAGAAAATCTTGTTACCAGTTCAACCGGACTGTCTGCTTTTTAAAAATCACAGACTTCAGTGGAATGAGAATCACACCAGTGACAGGAGCAGCTGAATGTTCAACACGGTATGATGTGATATGAAAGCATTTGAAAAGGGGGAAGTAGTAACAAAGTGCTTTTTTAATGGTCCACAGCACAAAACAGGTGCTGTTAGGATGGTTCATCACCAACATCTGGCATCAACATCCTCATTTCTTTAAAAAAAGCGTAATAAATATACATAAATCTAAACACAGACTGCTGAGGCTCTCATTAGCAGATAACTAAAGGTGAATATTGCGATACAACTATGAAAGCATCCTCCAGTTACTGTAGCCAAATCTTCCTCTCCATGTCTTTTGTGGTTAGTGTGAATTCGAATGACAAAGTTCACCAAAACTGAACTATAAGACACGCTCTGCAGCAAGAACACAGATTACTCCAGATCTGACATTATTTACATACACAACTCTGTTAAATAAATAAACATTTGAGCATTTCTGATGAAAAGAAAAAAAAATAGATATAGGCCCCTCAACTTGGGCAAAATTCAAGGAATTCTTATTTTATTTGTAAAGTTCCTAAACAGAAAAACCAGCCCATTAAGCTCTTAACCCTTAACAGAACAGTCAATGTTCTGTGCATGAATGCATTTTAAATTTCTGTTTTCCCTATTAAATGTGATGTTTCAGAAGAATGGATTTCAAATTAAGATAATCGCTTTAAGGCACGTTAGCACAAAAGTCTTACTGCCAATCTGCTGCAGCTCAGCGAGGAAACACTGTGCCTTACAAACCCACCCAATCAGTCTCAGACTGGTGAAACCTCAATTAGCTTCAACACATTTTTACATGAAGTGAGGACTCAGGATTTTGTCCTCCATCTTTCCTAACAGCAGAGAACTATTGCAACAAGAGGAGTCACCACAGCGGTCAACACTTTCAGTGACTGTGTGTGTCAACATTCTTGACTTGGAACAATGAACTTAAGTAATCTCTGTTTGTAACACAAGCACACACACACACACACACGTTTCTATGTAGTGCAACATGCTATCACACAACAAAGTGTGCGGCCCTGAGCTTCAACATCATCATCACTTTTCTGCTACATCAGCAGTGGTAAGTGTTTCAGGGTCATGGTACAGAGTTCAACAATCTCATCACACCAACACACGTCTCTGTGCTCTTATAAAAGAAAATGTTAGAGGTCTGCCTTTTATTTTCTGCTGCACTATACGGGTGAGTTGGTGAGGATAATGTACAGACTGCCTCCATCTGCACTTCCTGTCTGCTGTACAAAGGCACAAACACACACGCAGTTTAAAGTTTTTCCTGACTAGCAACTGTGTTCACTTGTAAAATAAGATACTTGCTCTCCTGGGTTTCGGGTTTCTGATACACACACACACACACACACACACACACACACACACACACACACACACACACACACACACACACACACACACACACACACACACACACTTTCCTTGTGTGACAGGGTGGAGTTTCCTCAGGAGTGAGTGAAGTTGAATGCTTTGAACACCACCCCAAGCCAATGCATGGGTGGGATGGTTGTGTGTGAAAAATACAAGTGTGTGTGTGTGTGTGTGTGTGTGTGTGTGTGTGTGTGTGTGTGTGTGTGTGTGTGTGTGTGTGTGTGTCTTCCTCAAACTAAATCCAGCATTTAGTTTCTTTAAAGAAAATGTGGTTAGAAATTTTCAGCACCAATCACGAGCACGTCTTAACTACACAACACGTATGTCAAGTATGTCTGCTTGTCCAGAAAGAAATTATTTAAGCAGCTTTATCACAAATCACTTCAGACATAAAACAGTCAGAAATGTGCACTGCCACAGAGACAACGAGGATAAACAAATACAAACAGCCTCTCTAAACTAGTGTTAATCCAAGCTTTCTATATATTGAAGCTCCAGCTGAACCAACTGGTCTGCTGGAAATAGTCAAGTCATTTTAAGGGCAAAACAAAAGATTTTTCTATACGCCAGTGGAGAAATGTATACGGGTAGAAAAAGTATTTTATATTCATTGATCAGTTAATTAACAGATCAATTTAATAAAGTGTCACAGATTATTGAGACATGAAGTTAGCAGTGAGCACAGTCTATCAGGTAGCCAATCAGAACTCATATTTTTACAAGTATCTATTTTTTTCTTACATCTTTAAAATGACTGAAATGGAAGTTGTAAAACAAACAAGCAAACAAACCAACAATAATCAAATGCCATACTAAACTACTGGAAAATATAAAAAAATAAAATAAAATCAGCAAAATTCAAGAATAAGAAGTCTTAAACCCTTCATTAAGACAGAGTTTAAGAACCTTTTTAAATCATGGCAATAGCCACTTAGCACGGATGTTATACAAGAATTCCAAACATTCAGAAGGAATTCCACTAGAGCTCACTGCTGCTCATGACATGACTAAATAAGCATTTTCTCTTGTCATGATGTCCAGCTATGCAATCACAAACGCTCCATTCATCCCGTGACCCCGTTATTACATCATCACAAAGGTCTGATGTTCAATAAATGGTTTTGTGCCGCCGTCTAGGAGCAATACAATGATGGATGGACACAGAGGGTGACACCAGCACAATGTAGCTACTAATACACTGTGTCCATCAATGGACCTTTGTAGTGCACGATTAAATATGACTAATAAATAACCTTTAAACATGATCAAAAAAACAAAAACAAAAAAAACAAGGGTTCTGCAAGAGAAAGTTTGTGAACCCTTTGGTCACAGTGGGTTCCAATCTTAGATCAAGTGACAGATAAATAGCTTTAAGTCTTTATCTAACACAGTGTAATCAGTCACAATGCAGGCTGGGAAAAGTATGCCAGCTCTTGGTTTAGTAACTAAAAAAACCACATTTAGCTTCAACACCCTCTATAAGATAAGTAGCTGCTTATGACACATACACCACAATGATGAGAATTTGGGAACATTACTCCCAAAACGTGGTTTTTAATGCAATTATATTGGCATGTTTGTACAAAATGTCAGCCCATGCCACAGCACCTCAGTAGCATTAAGATCAAGACTCCAAAAGCTACCTGTGATCAGGTTTTAAAAGTATTCAGAGATGCACAAAGTCTACTTAATGAAAAAGTCTCCTCATATCAAGAAAGACCAGTCGGTATGAATCATATCTTGATCACAACTTTCTCAGTTTCATGTCTAAATGCCCCATGTTCAAACATCTACCGTAAGACAAAATGTCTACGAAATCAAAAGCTGCTACATCCCATAGCAGAGGATATCTTATAAAGATTACACAAAGACGTTAAACTACAGCAAAGACTTGCAGAAATCTGAATCTGTGCCCATTCTGTTGCGTACGAGGCAAATACTGATTGAGAATGGTTCTGCAAACACTGCACATGTCAACTGTTAAGCATGAAGGAAGAAGCACTGAGGTTTGACACTAGTTTGCTATGTGAAGGCCCGGATGCTAAAAATGGACCCGATTTATATAGTTTTTCTGGTCTTCTCAACCAGTCATTCAGTGCTTTAACTCTACACATACAGCACTCTCTCAGACACCCGATGATGTTTCACAGTTGGTGGCGTTTAATATTTTACCCAAGAAATTATGGATTGGAGAAAATTTACAGAACAATATCAGGTCAGCTGTTAAAATAAGTTAGGATGATGCAAGAAAACAAGAAATTGAAATAACTGCTTGAGAGAAAAGAACATGCATTTCAAAAAGAATTGGCTACTTTGAAGATAATTCTGATTTTATTTGTCTAGAATTGTGATTGAGAGGAGCATCACACCACTATTTATGAGTGGCCCATACAGGCAGCTTTTGCAGCCCTGACGAAGACTCGGGACTGTTGCTCTCAGGGACAAACAATCAGCAACTATAACATGACTCCAATCTCCTGCCTTAGTAGAAAATAGATAAAACGCCCACAAAGTACTTGTTATGGCTGGTCAAGCCTCTGAACAGCCTTCAGCTAATGTATCATTTTCAAAGCAAAGTCATGAAGAGTTGTAGCGCAGACTGATAATTTGCCATTATTATTTCCTCTATAACAATGGCACTTATTGTTTGTCAGTGTGTTGACACTGAAAAAGACAGCGCCCTAGATATAATAAACACCACTTTACTATCCTAGGCTGACAAAGTGTGACTGAATGTGCTTACACAGCTGACTGACCTTATCCAGAATGAACTTGTTCAGGTAAGGCATGTATCCCTGGTTGGAGACAGGACCCTCGTCATCATCTTTGAAGTGCTCCTCCAGAGCCACCGGGTCATGGGGAATGTTCATGACTGTACATAAGTTGTGGGACAGCACCTGAAATCAGAGGTGAAAACAATACTTACTAGTTATTATAACGATCGATTGATATGTTTAAGTCAATTTCAGCTAATAGTTATGAGTTACATTCCATTTAAGCCAGGTCTTGGCCGTTTCTACCTTTGCTCCCTGCAGTTACATTTCTTGAGAAATGCACTTGAGGTTACATGAAAGGTCACAGCGTAGGGTTAAAGTCGTAGGTTACAGTCGACATTTACAAAATAAAACAAAATGTAAATACTGCTCCCTGTCATACAAAGGCCCCTGCCCAGAATTCCTTTTGACGACTCGCAGCCGTGTGGGGTTGCACATGTGGACATGACAGCAGTAATTGGAGAACAAGTGTGGCACAACCAAGAGAACCACAAAGGAAGCGGTTTCACCATTTTCAACAGACGTGGAGCGTCTTAAAGCTGCATTGCATTTTTTTTCTCCTTTTTTAGGCCACAGTTGTGTAGAAACTAGTCTAACTATTGTGCAAGTAGCAACAGGGACATTCCCAGGATAATAATAAAAAAGAGGGGGACCAGATCAGAATATTTAAAGTAAGTATACTATAGACAACTAATGTTGAAGACACGGTGTGCACGTATGCAGCCCTGTGCCCTGGTACCAATGACAATGCAGTTATTATGCATTATCATCGATGCAATAGCTGTACAAGAATTTAAAGACGGTTTTGTTTTGAGTAACTATTTCAGACAGTCGCCAAGCATATGTAGGTAGTTCTGATGTGCGTTTGGGATCACTGTCCTGTTGGAACATCCAACTGTCTCCAAGTTTCAACCATCTACTGTTGATTTGAGGTAAAGTTGAAGAATATGAAGGTAGCCCTCCGTCATCATTTCATCCACTTTGTGCAATGTACCAGTATCACTGGCAGCACAACAGCCCTTGCTTGACATTCATGTCCGTGTTCTTAGTTTTGACAGAGTCACCTTTACTCCTCCAAACATACTTCTCGTGATTGTGACCAGACACCTCAGTATTCGTCATGTCTCATATAAAACCTTTCTCCAGGAGGCATTTGGCTTGTCCGTGTGGACAGCTGCAAATTTCAGTGGCACTTGAATGTGTCAAATTTGAAGTAGTCTTGGTCAGCACCCTCTTAGTCAATGAAGATGTAAAAGTCACTTCACTGTAGGCAGAATAACTTGTACTTGCGTGGAGTTGTTTGAAGGGATGATCTTGGAATCTGCAGTTGTTTAGAAATGGCTCCAAAAAGATCTTCCCAGCTTGTGTAAATCTACTGTTCTCCTTCTTAGATCTTCACTGCGCAATTTTATTGTTCGGAGTATTAGTCAGTCAACTGAGCTCTGTCAAACAATATTTTCTATTCCAGCAAAGATAAACTACCAGTTGTAGTGAATGGTGATGACTAATGAAAAGTTTACCCCCTTGGTTTTGCCATGTTAAAACCCACTGTATAACCTTCAGCTCCACTTATTAAATAGAAATACTTAAACGACAACAAGTACTTGAGCTACATTCAGCCATTGTTCCTATTCATGCTCTCATCCAATGGTGTTTGGCATTGTTAGATAACCAAAGACTATAATCTCTGAATCACTGAATCAAATTTTTGCACATGTCGAGGAGCGTGTCAGGCTACATTTCACTGTGTGTTATACTTGTATAACTATGCATGTGACAAATAAAGAACCTTGAACCTAAAGTAGTGTAGTGGTTGGCACCTCACAGCAAGATGATTCTGGGTTTGAATCCACCGGCTGGAGGCTTTCTGTGTGGAGTCTGCATGTTCTCCCTGCATTTGCCTGGGTTCTCTCCATGTACCCCGGGTTCCTCACCCTTCCACAGTCCAAAGACATGCATGTTGGGTTCACTGGCGATTCCACATTGACTGCAGGATTGAATAGGTGTCTGTCTGTGTCAGCCCTGTGACAGACTGGCACTGTCCAGGGTGTACCCTGCCCCTCACCCTATGAGAACTGTGTTAGAACCCGACCCTGATAAGGAGAACAAGATGGATGGCCGGTACATTGGCAATAGAGGGTGGGAACCCAGGAGGGGCCTATGCCGTCCCAGGCCCTTTCTCTTTGCACTTACCCCAGAGTAGCAGCGACCATTTTCACTTTGGTTTGATGCTCCTGAAGTGAAAAGTGTTTTTGTTTTTTCCATCCGTTCCTGAACAATGTTTGGCTGGCACAGGAGTGTGAGTGCGTGTTGTTTACATACATGGAGGTATCTCCAGGAAATTTGTACTCATATAAAAATATCTTCTACTTGGCTGTGTTTTCAAGTGGATTCTTCCAGTGATGAGAGGTGTATGCAGATCTTTTGAATAACTTTACTTTCATCTGCGTTAAAGCCTCCTTTTCAAACATCTGTTGGCTCTACTTGTTCTGTGGTGGTTTTTAGTGTGGGATTCTCCTTTAATCGATGTGCAAACTGTCAACAGGTGCGTCTCAGCTGATGCTGCCTAACAGAAGTGTGTGCGTTTGTTTTTTTTCCACGCAAATCAGAATAGGAAGGAACGGGTTCACTATTTTGAAAAAAGCCAAAGATCCTAAAGGTTAAAACCTCCAGCGGCCAAACGAAACTCAAAACCATCAAGGAAAGCAGCTTACCTTCAGCTGAGATTTAGAGACTTTCCCGCTTTTGTCCACATCCAGAGCTGTGAAGGCATGCCAAATGGACTTTAAAAGTTCATCCCGCAAGGCCATATCGGTGGAATATACCTCGTCTTCTTCTCCTGTACTTTTCCCCTCTTACTTCTCTCCTCTCCGGCTGCGTGTGTGTCACTCTTACTCTCTTGCTGTGTGAACTGTCTCTCTTCTGCTGTTGGACACGACGGGGAAAGGTCACGTGACCCGCCGTCAACTGCTGCGTGCTTGGCATCGTGATGAAGAACTGCAGCACCGCTCAGCGAGAGGAGCGCACACACATCAGGCACGAGTGTGTGTCACTGACGCTCTGTGCGGAGGGTATGTGAGGACTTTGTGGGTAAAAAAAACATTATTTATTTTTTACGTAAAAAATGACACATAATAGGTGTTTGAAACTACCTATGTTTCTGTTCTGTGTCCTGTGTACTGTTTGTTTGTATACGTGTCTTTTTGGCTGCTGTTACAACCAAATTTCCCCTTGTGGGACAATTAAAGGATTATTCTATTCTATTCTACCTTGCTAAAAAACAGAGAAAGTCGTTAACATATAAATATATGGAAAACCTAAACTGCCAGCTCAAAATTACTAAACTTTTAAAAATCACAAAATATTATTATTGTTACTAGTATGCCAATTATATGTAAATAAATAATAAATAATAATATTTTAGGCATTCATTTTGATAAAAACTTGCATGTTTTGTAGATGCATACAAAGGTGTGTTGTTAAGTTCACCTGTTGATTGATTGACATCAGTGCAGAGATCGTGTACACATGCCTTTCTCTAATATTTAATGACATTCATTTATCTGTGGTGTCATGTAAGCCTTTTATCTCTTTATTTTTCAGCGGTTTTCTGACAACTTAAAAGTGGGAAATTAAAGATTAAAATATAAAATTTCTGGATTTAAAAATGTTGCTTGATTAAGCCGCTAAAATGTAACTGAGAATATGTTTGTGTTAAAATCTAGATGGCTAAAAGTATTTGAATATTCTGAAAATATTTTACAAAGTGAAGTGACGGTCTCAATTTTTGGATTAAACTGTAGTGAAGTTTTCACTAAAGATTTAATATCCTCATCTGAACGTCTGTGGAAATCTCAGATAGAACCAAGTCAGTTTATGTTATTTTATGCAAAAAAAAATTTATATAATGAATTTTGTTTTTACACAGTGAATTTTTACTTGGGTTTAAAAATGAAGCAGTTATGATTAAAACTCCTGGAAAATAAATTAGTACCAAATTTGTGACTAATTCTAGATGGCCTGACCTGTAATACTTATCGTGTGATTTAGAAGTGCCACATTCTATTGCCCTAACATCTTTGAATGCAATTCAATTCAATTCAATTCAATTTTATTTATATAGCGCCAAATCACAACATAAGTCGCCTCAAGGCGCTTCATAGATACAGAGAAAAACCCAACAATCATATGACCCCCTATGAGCAAGCACTTTGGCAACAGTGGGAAGGAAAAACTCCCTTTTAACAGGAAGAAACCTCCGGCAGAACCAGGCTCAGGGAGGGGCGGGGCCATCTGCTGCGACCGGTTGGGGTGAGAGAAGGAAGACAGGATAAAAGACATGCTGTGGAAGAGAGACAGAGGTTAATAACAGATATGATTCAATGCAGAGAGGTCTGTTAATACATAGTGAGTGAGAAAGGTGACTGGAAAGGAAAAACTCAATGAATCATGGGAATCCCCCGGCAGCCTATGTCTATTGCAGCATAACTAAGGGAGGATTCAGGGTCACCTGGTCCAGCCCTAACTATATGCTTCAGCAAAAAGGAAAGTTTTAAGCCTAATCTTGAAAGTAGAGATAGTGTCTGTCTCCCGAATCCAAACTGGAAGCTGGTTCCACAGAAGAGGGGCCTGAAAACTGAAGGCTCTCCCTCCCATTCTACTTTTAAATACTCTAGGAACAACAAGTAGGCCTGCAGAGCGAGAGCGAAGTGCTCTAATAGGGTGATATGGTACTACAAGGTCATTAAGATAAGATGGGGCCTGATTATTTAAGACCTTGTATGTGAGGAGCAGGATTTTGAATTCAATTCTGGATTTAACAGGAAGCCAATGAAGGGAAGCCAAAACAGGAGAAATATGCTCTCTCTTTCTAGTCCCTGTCAGCACTCTTGCTGCAGCATTTTGGATAAACTGAAGGCTTTTCAGTGAGTATTTTGGACATCCTGATAATAATGAATTACAGTAGTCCAGCCTGGAAGTAATAAATGCATGAACTAGTTTTTCAACGTCACTCTGAGACAGGATATTTCTAATTTTAGAGATGTTGCGCAAATGGAAGAACGCAGTCTTACATATTTGTTTAATATGTGCATTTAAGGACATGTCCTGGTCAAAAATGACTCCAAGGTTCCTCACAGCGTTACTGAAGGCCAAGGTAATGCCATCCAGAGTAAGAATCTGGTTAGATACCATATATCTAGGCTTTTCAGGGCCGAGTACAATAACCTCAGTTTTATCTGAATTGAGAAGCAGAAAGTTAGCAGCCATCCAGGTCTTTATGTCTTTAAGACATTCCTGCAGTTTAACTAATTGGTGTGTGTTATCTGGCTTCATGGACAGATAGAGCTGGGTGTCATCTGCATAGCAGTGAAAATGTATGCTATGTCTTCTAATGATACTGCCTAAGGGAAGCATGTATAATGTAAACAGAATTGGTCCTAGCACTGAACCCTGTGGAACTCCATAATTAACCTCAGTGTGTGAAGAGGACTCTCCATTTACATGCACAAACTGGAGTCTATTAGATAGATATGATACAAACCACTGCAGTGCAGTACCTGTAATACCTACAGCATGTTCTAATCGCTCTAATAGGATATTATGGTCGACAGTATCGAATGCTGCACTAAGGTCTAGCAGGACAAGCACAGAGATGAGTCCACTGTCAGAGGCCATAAGAAGCCATTTGTAACCTTCACTAAAGCTGTTTCTGTGCTGTGATGAGCTCTGAAACCTGACTGAAACTCTTCATATAAGCCATTCCTCTGCAGATGATCTGTTAGCTGTTTGACAACTACTCTTTCAAGGATTTTTGATATGAAAGGAAGGTTGGAGATTGGCCTATAATTAGCTAAGACTGCTGGGTCTAGAGATGGCTTTTTGAGTAAAGGTTTAACTACAGCTAGCTTGAAGGCCTGTGGTACATAGCCGATTATTAGAGATAGGTTGATCATATTTAAGATCGAAGAATTAATTAATGGCAGGACTTCTTTGAGCAGTTTTGTAGGAATGGGGTCTAAAAGACACGTTGATGGTTTGGAGGAAGTAATTATTGAAGTTAACTCAGAAAGATCAATTAGAGAAAAAGAGTCTAACTTAACATCAATGGTACTAAGAGTAGCTGTAGATAATATTACATCTGTGGGATGATTATTGGTAATTTTTTCTCTAATGATAAAGATTTTATTTGTGAAGAAGTTCATGAAGTCATTACTAGTTAACGTTAAAGGGATTGTTGGCTCAAAAGAGCTCTGACTTTTTGTCAGCCTGGCTACAGTGCTGAAGAGAAACCTGGGGTTGTTCTTATTTTCTTCAGTCAGTGATGAATAGTAAGATGTTCTGGCTTTGCGGAGGGCTTTCTTATAAAGCAGCAAACTATTTCTCCAGGCTAAATGATGATCCTCTAAGTTTGTGACACGCCATTTCCTCTCCAGATTACGAGTCATCTGCTTTAGGGTACGTGTTTGAGAATTATACCACGGAGTCAGGTACTTCTGATTAGAGACCTTAGTTTTCACTGGAGCTACAGTATCCAGAGTCATATGTAGTGAGGAGGTGAAATTATTAACAAGATAATCGACCTCTGTTGGGGTAGCATTCAGATAGCTGCTCTGCTCTTTGTTGGTACAGGGCATTGAAGATGATAACAGTGGGTGGATTATATTCTTAAACTTAGTTACAGCGTTTTCAGAAAGACATCTACTTTGATAAAGTCTACTCTCCACCGCTGTGTAATCAATTATTGTAAATGTAAATGTTATCAGGAAATGATCAGACAGGAGAGGGTTTTCAGGAAACACTGTTAAATGTTCAGTTTCTATGCCATATGTTAAAACAAGATCTAGAGTGTGATTAAAGTGGTGGGTGGGTTCTTTTATATTCTGAGAGAAACCAATTGAGTCTAATAACAGATTAAATGCCATGTTGAGGCTGTCATTTTTAGCATCTACATGGATGTTAAAATCACCCACAATAATTATTTTATCTGAGCTCAGAACTAAATTAGATATAAAGTCTGAGAAATCAGACAAGAAACTCTGTGTAAGGCCCAGGTGGACGATAGATGATAACAAGTAAGACTGGTTTCTGAGTTTCACAGCTGGGGTGGACAATGCTAAGCATCAGGCTTTCAAATGAATTAAAAGTCTGTCTTGGTCTTTCGTTAATTAATAGGCTGGTGTGAAAAATTGCTGCCACACCGCCCCCTCGGCCTGTGCTTCGAGATTTCTGGTAGTTAGAATGACTCGGGGGTGTTGATTCATTTAAACTAACATAATCATCCTGCTGCAACCAGGTTTCTGTAAGGCAGAGTAAATTAATTTGTTGATCAATTATTAAGTCATGTACTAACAGAGACTTGGAGGAGAGAGACCTAATATTTAATAATCCACATTTCACTGTTTTACTCTTTGGTTCAGATGTGGATACTTTATTGTTCTTTCTTTGTAATTGTTTATGTTTAAGTTGTTTGTTGCTGGTTTTTAGTTTGTTTTTTGTCTTTTTGGAAGCTGACACAGTCTCTATGGAGATGGGTTTTTGGGGGGGTAGCAGAAGGAGAGAAGCTGCAGAGAGGCGTGTAAGACTGCAACTCTGCTTCCTGGTCCCAACTCTGGATAGTCATATTTTGGGGGGTTTAATAAGTTTGTCCATATTTCTAGAAATGAGAGCTGCTCCATCCAAAGTGGGATGGATGCCGTCTCTCCTAACAAGACCAGGTTTCCTCCAGAAGGTTTGCCAATTATCTATGAAGCCCACATTGTTTCTGGGACACCACTCAGACAGCCAGCAATTTAAGGAGAACATGTGGCTAAACATGTCACTCCTGGTCTGATTGGGGAGGGGACCAGAGAAAACTACAGAGTCTGACATTGTTTTGGCAAAGTTGCACACCGATTCAATATTGATTTTAGTGACCTCCGATT